AATTCCTTTAAATTTTCCCTGTAGGTTAGGAAGAAAAATTTTTTAAAACATTAAGGTATTACATCTATTGTGATTTTTTTAAAGTCTTTTTTAAAAATATTTATTTATTTATTTATTTGACAGAGAGTGAGAGAGAGCACAAGCAGGGGGAGCAGCAGAGGGAGATGGAGAAGCAGGCTCCCCGCTGAGCAGGGAGTCCAATGCGGGTCTCGATCCCAGGACCCTGGGATCATGACCTGAGCCAAAGGCAGATGCTTAACTGACTGAGCCACCCAGGTGCCCCCCATTGTTATTTTTTGTAATTACCTTTTTTTCTCTTTTTTTTTCAAATTTTAGACAGTATCAGTTGACTCCCTGCCATGAAAGCAGAGGACACTAGTATTTTATTTCCTCCTATTTTTCTTCCCCTCCTGATCTTTGCCCCAATTTACAATATTTACATTCTAGTAAGTAATGTATTTCCTGAAGCTGTTTACTATGTATGTGTATATGTATACATGTCTTCAAATGGATTTAGTGTTCATCTTAAATCCTTTGCCATAGTTTCCTCATTCCTGAGTTCTTCTATTTGATTAATTTTTTTTAATCGGCTGGAATTTGTTGTCAAGTCATCTAGCTTTCCCTTGAAGCATCATAGCTTTGTATTCCCTGAATTCCACCATTTTTGAGAAACGTCTGCCCCTGCCTTTCTCCTTGAATGACATCCTGGCCTGGTCCAATATCCCTTCACTTAGAGCTTTGAAGGCAGTGCCCTGTTGTCTTCTGCCCCTGAAGGTCATGAGGAGAGCCCTGTGGCCAGTATAATTTCTCTTCCTTGTAAGTAATTGGCCTTTCTGCCCAAACACCTGATAAATTCTTTCTTTATCCTTAAAGTTCAATAGTTTCATTAGAATATATCTCTTTGGTGGTGTACTGTATTCAATTGTCCTGAAATACGATTTGTTCTTTTGGTCTGTGGAGTCAGGTTTTTGTTCAATAGAATTTTTCTTACATAATGTGAATAAATATTCTCTTTAATTTTTAAAGATTCTTTAATTTTGTAATTTTTCACCCATTCTTTACTTCAGGGACATCAGTTATCTCAAGTTGGAATAAGTTAATCCTTTTTCTTTACTTCTTGGAGTTCTCATTAGGTTCTTTCATATGGTTGTCTTTTTTGCATATATTATTTCAAATGTTTTAAGACTTTCCTTTATGTTAATAATCAGGTTTTCAGTGGTATCTGTCTGTTCTTTTTGTTCCTAATTTATATACCTATTATGTAATGATGTTGTTTGGCTATCAATTGGTTTTCTGGTGCCTGCAAATTCTTTTTAAATTTCATTTTGTTGGTTTCAAGATATTAGGGTGGGCCAGGTTATGCTACAGTAACTAATTAGTCACAACTTCTCAGTGGTTTATCACTTACAGGTTTATTTCTTTCTCATGCAAAGTTTTCCAGGATAGTTCCTGTCCAGAGATAACTCAGAGCCCAAGACATTTGCATCTCAGAAGCCTTGTCACAGGCTAAATTGCCTTGGCAGGAGAAATGACAGCAAAAGAACTCATATCTGCTGACCTCAAATGGTCTGAAATTGGCCCGGAATTGATGCACGCCATGCCATTTACATTTATTACTAGAATGTACGCTTTTTGCCCAGAGTGAATCTGATGGTAGTAGTAGCTGCAAGAAAGGCAAAGAAATGCAAAAGTTCTGTGTGCTGGGATGAAGGAAATGACCCAAGATTTGGTGAACATACAGCATTATCTTCTCCACATTTACCATACCATCTCTGAGCTCTTTTGTTGTTTCATGGGTTTAAAAAAGAATTATTCTCTAGTGTAAAGAGATCAGGAAGAATTTTCTTCTTTTATTTGAGTGAAGTGTTCTCCTAAATTAAGTTCTTTACCAGGTCTTGTCCTTGCTTGCTCACTCCCTTCCTCTTGCTTTTTTTCTTTCATTCCCTCATCCAGCATATTTGCATAGTTGTCATGCTGGTTTTTTTCTTTATCTTGAGCAATTCTGTCCTGACCTTGTATTTTCTCTGTTACAAAGTGGGTGACTTTTTTTTACTCTTTTCCCACTGTATCTAAAAACAGTTTTTCTCCTCCAAACTATAGTTTGAGGGTTAGGCTGTGCATATTGTATTTTTTTAAATAGGACTGAGAGGAGAGTGGGAAGGGAAGAGTTTGGGGTGCTAAACAGTATTTGTTAGGCTATGTGATTGTTTTCTCTCTTCTGAGATCTTGTTAAAACTCTAGAACCAGGAATCCCAACGCCTATGGTGAGAATATTCTCAGATTTGAGACTGTTGTGATATGATCACTTGTTTCTCTGTTGTTGCTGTTTGTCAGACAGAAAGGGGAAAAAGTGAAGACTCTTGAATAGCTTGTCCTCCCCAGTGAGGATTCCTGGGGGTCATCAGTAAGAATTCTTAGGATTTCTCTACTCAATGGTATGGTTTTGGGTAAAGGGGTGGAATAAGAAGTCTAGCCTTCCTATGCCTCTCAGTTCTGCTCCAGAAGGTCCTGTCTGTCCTTGGCTACTAATATTTGAAGTGTATTTCATTGAGCTGTAATTCTATCCTTGCCTGTTTGCTGTTATTGCATATTTGGAGGATGGTTTTCATGGTTTTTTTTTTTTTT